CATGATTCAGTTAGCTGAGCTGGCTATACTGCTCTTGAGTTACATCATCACCCAGGTCAAATGTGTGGCACAGGCATTTCTTTTTTCTTTGAACTAAACTTCTAAGATTCAAAATCTTAAGGAAAAAGTAGGATCACAATAGTTTTTAACTGTATAAAAGAGTTATATATTAAATAATTTTAAAAATAAATAACTATTCCACTGCTAAATAAAATAATGATAAAACTAGTTTAATCGTCAACAAAATTTTATTCTGGAAATACTAGCATCTGAAACTTGTTGAGCATATTCTTTTGGTAACTTGATTTTTATGCATTGTATCAAAATTGTAACAACAATAACAAAATTTTAAAGAAAAACAAAATCCAATCTACCTCCCCTAATCCATGAAATGATTTTCTCCTCATGTTCTTAATAAGTTCTTGTCCTTAAGGTTAATTATTGTTGCAAAATCTAAAAATGCAAATATAATTTTAGTTATGTTTTCACTCAATATTGTATCAAAAAAGTTTTTCCCTATTGCAAATAGTTGTAAATGTTTTCATCAAAACAGTACTAAAATGTGACCACATAATATGTGTTTAAGGAAATGTACCATTATTTATGCAATTGTTGCCACCATTTATTAGAAGTTTGCTATTTTTAGTCTTCTGCCATATTAAATAATTTCCTCACAGTGATCATCTTTTAACATAAAAGTCTAGGATTTTATGTCATTTTTCAAAAAATACAATTAAACTGGGGCACATTCTTTGCTTATGAGCTCTCTAGAATGGACAAAATAGTTACAATGATTACTGCACTCCCAGAAGAAAAAAAATGTGGAAGAGCTCATAGACTGGTGTGAATGACGTATATCTGAATGATGGCAATTGGAGGGCTGGTCTTATTCTTTTACTTTCTTAGGAAATAAGGAGTAAATAAATAAGGACTCCTAGGAGAAACAGGCAGGTGTCTGTTTTATTATTTTAAAAAGCAACAATTTCATGATTGGAGTAAGAGGAAGAAAGCTCATACGTGAGAATTCTGTAGAAACAGAGTCCGGTACATGGCATCTTCTTTCCTCCCTAACAGTTCTCCTGGGAACGGAGACCGGGAAGAGGGAAGCGTTTGACACCCAGGGTACTCTGACGGGTTTTATTATACAAAGGATCCAGGATATTCCCATAAAGACAAACATGAGGACAAATTTAGGGTAGAACTAGGAATGATCATGATGAAAGTGACAATTCTGCCCACTTTTCTCCATCCAAACCGATGCTCCTCTCCTATCTTCCTTGGCCTGGATTACTGTGAGAGACTCCTAATGGTGGCGCTGCCTTCTGCCTCACTCCACTAATCCATACTATTCATTGCAGCAGCTGAAACTTCTGTTATCACCCATGGTCTGGCTCCTGTTGCCTCTCCAGCCTGATTTCCATCCCCACACCCTGCTCCCCATGCCCACCATCACCGTCACACTTTGTGCCCAGCTACACCAGTTTTCTCAGTTCTTCAAACACAGTATATTTCTCACCTTGGGCCTTCATATATGTTTCTCTGTCTGCCTGAAACACTACTTCATTGCCCCAGCTAATTTCTATTAATTGTTCAGGCCTCAGTAAATATGTTAGTTTTCCATATTTTTTTAAAAATATGTTTTTATTGATTTTAAGAAAGAGGAAGGGAGAGGGAGAGATAGAAACATCAATGATGAGAGCAAATCATTGATCGGCTGCCTCAAAACCCTGACCGGGAATTGAACCATGACCTCCTGGTTCATGTGCCAATGCTCAACCACTGAGCTATAACAGCGGGGCTACTTTTCCATATTGATTGAATAAAACCTGCCATAATCATCAGGTGTAGGTGCTCTGATAACACATTATATGTCTTTTATTAAACACTTATCACTGTATTATAATTGCCTATTTTACTTATATCATTACAACTGTAAGCTTCAAGAGTTCAAAGACCTTGTTCACTTTTGTACCATATTATCTGGCATACTTCCTGGCACAGGATAAGGATCAATCTATATATATAAAAGCCTAAGCGACCATTACGACCAGTCGACCGGCTGGTCACGCACTGACCCAGACCTTGCTTCTGGGGTCCAACAGCCCTGAATTTGGCTCACCTGTACCCTGAACCCAGACAGGAGGGAGGAGGGAGCCCGATTCTTCACAGAATCGGCTGTTGGTTAGCTTATTGCTGGGGCCAACCTCCTGTGGTCCCTCCCCTCGGCCAGCGGGCTCCCTGATTGGCCCCGATGGGGGGGGCAGCAGGCCAACCTCCCATGGTCCCTCCCCCTGGTTGCCCGCCAGGCCGAGGGACCCCACCCATGCACAAATTTTGTGCACTGCGCCTCTAGTATTATATATTCTATACCAGAGGCCCAGTGCACGAAATTTGTGCATGGGAGAGGGTCCCTCAGCCTGACCTGCACCCTCTCCAATCTGGGACCTCTGGCTCCTAACCGCTCACCTGCCTGCCTGCCTTAACCACTTTGCCTGCAGCTGATCCCCTAACTGCCCTTCCCTGCTGACTTGATCCCCCTA